TATGGCCAGACAGGTAACTTGTTCTTGTAGTTTTAGAAATGTTCTTATTGAAACAACTGCTACACAAATGATTTATCAATGGTATAGGCATGTGCTGAGCATCAGATTTGCACGATTCGAGAATGAAAGTTGTAGTGCATTTATCTCGTGTCACGAGCATTTATTCGTGTCTTAACTAGGACTGACAGGTCCCCTATCTTGATGTCACTCTTTTCACAACTAAGTTTTGGCTACTACTTTTGTTTCCTAACCTTCGTTGATCTTGAGGTGCATACAGAGTTATGCGCTCCAAGTTACTTAAACTCCATTTATTGGCAACTCTTTCGGTATCTAGCATTGTTTGCGTATGTGATCGAAGCTGGGGTCTGAGGGAAATGTGGTTACCTGTGCACGAAATGATCAGTCATTGACGCTGAGACAACTTCACCTATCTAAACTAAATGGAACATCCAGCTTGCAGTTGATGTTATCGGTGGAGTGTATACATCTACTTAGCCACAGGTTCGAGTTTTTGTCCCAATCCACCTAATTATGACTAAATTAAATGTATCCATGAGATTCAAACTACCCACATATTCCTGCTTCTTCCTATGAAGGATTGCCCTTTGTCCTCCTAGTAAGTTAGCGGCCCTAGTGGCGTAACCCCAAGCCACCTCTAACCTGGTCGCAAAGCACACCAGTCTAGGAGCGTCCTTCATGTGAACGTATGGATTCGAGAGTCTAGAGAGCTCTGTACGGAACTAAGCTCTAAATGTTTTACAAGTTTAAGCTGCGGGAATGCGGAGATGCAAGATTGTGGTTTTCAAGTACCGGAGTAGTCGCAATCACCTTATATTTCAAAAAGTTCATTGTGACTATTTATTAGCATAAATCCATGGACTGAGAGACCTAACATAGCCTGAATATGCATAACCGGCCACAAAATCACCGCTGCAAATCTCATTTCACTCACTGCTCGACAGATAACCGACGTGGTTGTGGTAAACGAGACCCGCGGCGTTCCTGACACCCTAATAGTGAGTCACCTGCCCTTCGGTCCAACAGCCAAATTCACCCTCTTTAACGTGCTTATGCGTCACGACTTCGAAGAGAAGGGTCGTGGAAGCGGGGCAAAGTGTCCTCAGGCTTATCCTCAGCATCTTTTTCACGGTCTCAACACAAATTTGGGCAGACGGGTGCGCTGTATCCTCAAACACCTCTTCCCCGTACCAAAGGAGGAGACAAAACGAGTGGTGGTATGGTACGAGGATGAAGATATCATCCGATTTAGGTGAGTTGCTAAGTTGAACTGTTTCGTGACTTCCCTCTGAGTTGTATGTAGGAGCGTTAAAGATTTTGTCTTGCTCCCACCACAAGCGACTTTGCATTTATCGCTTCATCCTCAGTTCCTTTTTTCTGTAGTTCCTAGGTCTGGTACGGAGGTCAACTCTTACCATGCCTTGATCGACTGATAGTCTGATGGTGTGGAACCATTCCCATAGCTTAATTCCTGTATTTTTTCTCTTAAGATGGTTTAGTGACTCTTGGCGTACCCATAACTCCTAAACGCTTTTGATAATCCTTGCAACTCTTTTACCCTCTCGAATTGCTCCATTCCTCCTAGAGGTCATTCTCGATTTCCTTTGATCACATCACCTATCGGAAAGCAGTCTTATCCATTACTATGGCAAGTGGGATTCAGTAATGAGTGGAATCGGTCTGATCACCTCATACCACAAGCGTCAAATTGATTTGTGGCGATGCTTGTGGTTCTCGTTGTTGGGTTGGGTTTAATTAATTGTTAGTTCCTACACAAGCTCGTTACACGCTCGTTAATTTGCTGAACCCTTTGCATGAAAATTGAAAGCCTCTAGCAGTTGAGCTAGACTTGAGTATTTTCTTACATTGGTTTTGATGATGAATAATACTTTAAAACCGTTAAACAACTTGGATTATTATTTATGGAATTCCGTTTTAATCATCTTTTTGCTTCTTAAGGCATCACACCTACAAATACGTTGACAGAGTACTGGAAACCGAGGAACATGGACCCCGATTCGACATGCGCTGTACGTTCCACTTCCTCCATCCTCAAAGTTAGTATCATAACTAGCATAAAATACGATGTTTGGGGCTGAATCACCTCCTAGAGTGAGTCCGCCATCACTCACCAGTGGGACGTCGAAGTCGGTTGTGAGGATGCCGGTACAGGCTGGTTTAGGATCTCATTGCCAGTATTGAGAAAATTGTGAGGAAAGATAATAAACAGGACTGGATACCGCTGGTTATGTAAAAGTGATTTGTCATCTCCCTTAGCGCAAAAGTCAAGTTAAACAAAACGAAACCGTGAGGAGACCCACTTCACATATCTCTCTTTACATCAGCACCCTTTCTTTTCGTTAGTATACAAAATTTGGCGAGGTCCACTGCACGAGGAGGGCACAGCGGAGGTGGAGTGGGTGTTCCGACCCTATATGAACACCGCCTATAAACGGTGCTTCCTCTCCACCGAAGAGGGTAACGATACGGACGATGAACCCGAAGCCGGAGGCACCAACGCGAAGAAGAGACTCAAGGGCCTATGAGCGCCCATTTGTATGCACAATTGTGTGGGCGCGAACCTCTGTATGTAACATTCGTGACATGTAAAGAATACCCACTCGTGTGTATTACCTCTTTTGCCTTGGTAGGGGAAATTAAGGCACCCATTGTTAATGGAAATACCAATTTCTTTTCTCCTAGAAGGGCTTAACCGGCAGCATTTTCTACCCCATTATTACGTCCACTAATGACTCAAAAGTGTCCGTCCCAAGTAGTGGATGAAAGGTGTTATGAAAGATTTTCTATGAGGATCATCGATACCTGTATCCTCCAAAGCCATCGTCACGAGGTGGGATTATCATCGGAAGACTTAACAGTTTCGGCGGATTAAGCTCTAGGCGACATTTATTCAAAGTATTAAAAGAGGAGAAGTTTTCTACCAAATATTGTGGTTCTTAATTTACAGATTCAAATGAAATGATAATGCCTATCGAAAACATTAGCTGTTGACTGCTGACGGTCCCGGATAATTGATGGGCAACAACTCTTTGCTATCAGTATGTCCTCTTCCATCAACAGTGAAAATTTGAACTAGCGTTAAGAGCATCCGCTTAACAAAATGAATGCATAAACAGGTTACTTCCTCGTTTTCTTCCCACCCAACCTTCCAACACGCACGTTTCGTGAACGCTTCTCGATCGTAGTGCCACATCTGAAGCCAGAACTAGTACCGCTACCGAAGCGCGCTTCGATGCAACGCAGAAGCGCGGCACACGCTGCACGTTGATCAGCCGGCAGAGTGGGAGGAGGAGAGCGCAACATCGGCATCACCACTTCATGCAAGTAGTGACCTCGAAATAAATGCATCTCCACTACCGCTGTTGGAATCTTCGGTGTTGAGGAAGTTTCCATTATAATTCCAGTGAACTCTTTCACTAGGCCTGACACCTCGTCCGACCATACATTCGATACTGCAATGGCGTCCGCATCCGCATCCGATTTCGACGTGGTGCCAACCCCCTGCAATGTGGGTGGTAGAATGAGTTACTAATTTGATAATAGAACTGTATTACCTAATCAGCCACCCACAAACTCAGTTCCTAAGTTATTGACCGTCAATTCCACCTGACATTAGTGTGGCGTTATGCTAAGTTACTAGGGCACCCACCCTCAATTCGGCCAGTCTGTCTCGACCCACTTCCATGTACTCCTTCCAAGCCCGAAAACAATCTTCCTGGGGGTCACTGGCAGCCAGCCAGAAGGGCGAAGCAGCAGTCAGCTGTGCATGAAGGTAGACCGCGCTCATTTCATGGGGTAGAAGGCGAAGTAGAGTAGTAGCAAGGAACTCAAGACTTCGACGTGTGGCTAACACACCGGCTTGATGAGGCGGAGTAGAAAAGCGTTCGCGCCACCACTGAGCGTAATAAAAGGATGTGACACGAGAATCTTCAGTTGCGAGCTGTCGAGCGAGAAGGAGCGCATGCTGAAGCTGGCAAAACCGCCAATCCAGTGGATCAATAACAGCTGAAAGTGACTCCTGGGAGGAAGAGAAAGAGTCGTCCAACAAAGCAACAAGGTTAGGGGATTTTTTCGGGGAAGTGGTCTTGGCTTCCGGTAACCGCGTTGAAGAGAAGATATGGACAAGGAGGTCATAAAGCATGTCTGCGGAAGGCATATTTGGAAGTTATGAGGAAGGGATAAATTTTGCTTATCCTCAAAGTAACCCATTTGACAATCAAGTAAACGATACCTGAAATAAGCAAGGTTCCTCCCTTGCAACAGACCGCAACGGTGGAAATAAGGTTCAGCAGCACTTCCAAGTTGAAGGCAGAGATGGTGACGGTGGAAGAGAGTAGTCGATTTCGCAGAGGAGCAAGCATTTCGTTGCCGCGGAGGGTTATTAGCATCTGGAGAGGGAGAACACTTCCAACTTCGCTTTAAGAATGTACCCCTTGGTATTTGCCCTTAAAAAGATGATCATAAAATCTACTTAATTGAGTTTCATTAGAGACTTGTTCATAACTGACCTGAACAAAGAGAAGTCGCCACTGTGAGGAAGACTGTGTGAAGGAAATAAACTTCGCCTCGGCAAAGGATTCCAAACCTGTAATGACGCATGTAGAATCACTCATAACTCCTCAATGTTGGACTAACCGACAAGGATGTATGCGATCCGATGTTTTGAACCTTACTTGCACTATTAAGAGGATGAATGGATAGCACTCTCTCCAGTAGTTCCACAATCTCAACGTTGACCTTCTCCAAAACACGATGGCTTACTTGGCTTTTCCATACCGCCTCGCACAGAACGGGCACATTAACCTCCGCGATTTCAACGCCTATGAGAGAGGTAGGTATGATTTTGTTTCATCACCGAAACTTACCTTCAGCTAGTACCATTCAGCTACATTCAACTTAAAAAGAAATTTTGGAAGGTGCAGTGATAAGAAAGTCGTGAATGAAAAGCAGAACAAACATCCATTTAAGGAGATTTATTGGCTTTGAACAACGAGGTGAATAGACCAAAAGCT